CACCAGACCACGCCCCTTAAAGGCCCCAAATTAACACAGGAATTCTACAGTCTGGAAGAAACATGAAAAGGTCCCAGATATCTTCCGGCTTCAATTGTACTGCATGTAGTTCCTATTTGCACCTCTAGAGGGAGTTGCTGCCCCTGCCCTTGACGCACGGCAGCCCCCACTCAGCCCCCGGCGACAGCGAGCAAGAAAACGGCCGTGGCCAAACGCAGAGTTTCCGGAGGAACGGGGGCGGCGCCCACCAACAGCACCACCATCTTCATCATCTTCAACCTCACCCCCAGCACCCGCCCACCTCAACGGGCTACCCCGAGGGAGGGGGCGGAGCCCCGCAGGTGAACGGATGTGGCAAAAAGGCCAATGGATTCATCGCTAACGGCATGGAAGGTAGGACTTTGGGCCATACCCACGATCCCTTGCGCTGGCGGGGGTCCAAGAAGAGCAAAGCGTGAGCTCCTCTGTTTACGTGACCGCTCAAATTGACTAAAACCTGTCATGTAGGAATCCAAACGTCGCCTTGTCTGCCAAAACTATGATCGACGATCACCAAAATTGATGTTGACATCTTCATGCTCAACTCTCAACTCAAATATTTGAATGATCGCCCACATAGTCGGGATTTGAGGGCGCTCCCGACAAAGCTGATTGATGCAACTCAAATAAGTATTTCACAGCACAAAAATAGTTATGATCAAATAAAATAAGAATAATGAAAACTTTACTTTTAGAAGTAGTGAAATGGGTGTCCGTAGGTACTTTGTTATGTTCTCTGACTGTACACTTGGTGGCAGTGTTGCTATAAAAATACTGTTGAGATGAAAATAACCTGTGAAGAAAATAAGAGTGTTTGGCTACACTCTGGCCTCGTTATTTTGCATCCGACACCACATACTTAACTTGGTTAAGGACGATTAAAGGGACGGACGAAAACCCACTTCCGTTCTTGCTTAGTTCCGTCCCAGGGACATGGAATGTCCATCTCTGGTCATGACTTGGATCGTTTCTTTGGTTTATCCGATAGATTTTGCAATGAAACAATGACCCCTGCTGGCGGCGCGTAGAAATGCATGTTTCCGGAACCCTCCCGCTCCGAGCTCCACTTGCGTCGCTGTCTTTGTGTGTGTGTGTGTGTGTGTGTGTGTGTGTGTGTGTGTGTGTGTGTGTGTGTGTGTGTGTGTGTGTGTGTGTGTGTGTGTGTGTGTGTGGAGCCCATAGCAAGACCCTCTGTGTGTGTGTGCATGTGTGTGCCCTCTGCAGGCTGTGTTACTAGTGGCTGTGAGTTCCCCTTCCCCATGTGGTCCTCGTCCCCGGGCGCCCCCCCCATCCCTGATGACATGTGTGTGGTGTTTGTAGTGGAACTGGACAAAGGACCGTACGGACTCGGCATGGGACTCATCGACGGCCTGGTGAGATCGATCACTGAATATCATTCGATGTCTCAGGGTATGGATAGTTTGACTCCTTGTCGCTGCAAAATTTGAGAAAACAAAACCCAACAACAACTGAGAAGGAACGGTTCAAAGGAAGGCGGCCACGCCCCTTTTGGCCAAAAATGTCACCATTTGGGAGCCTTGCTCCCATTGACCTCAAGCTTGACATTTTCGGGTTATGCCGTCGCTCTCAACAATCGGCATCAAGTACGCCGGGTTTCATGAAAATCCAAATCTGCTCAGCTACATGTATATTTTTGGCATCCTTGGTCCAACTGGACCTGTTCTCGTTTTAAGTTGTAATGTATAAAGTGGCCTATTTTTTTTCTTTTAATTATTTTGTGTTTTAATAACCAAAAGCGCATTTGAATCAATTGTAAGGATCAGGGTTTGAAAAGTTAAAAAAAAAAAAAAACATTTTTTAAAATCTAAACCCCCCCCCCAGCACACGCCCCTCAACGCCCCGGGCATCTACATCCGCACGCTCATCCCCGACGGGCCGGCGGCATCTGATGGCCGGCTGAGGATTGGCGATCGGATCCTGGCCGTCAACGGGACCAGCCTGATCGGAGCCGACTACCAGAGGTACGCATCTGCGCTTGATGAGAGTGCCTTCCACACATTTTTGTTGATGTTTTTTTTTGGGGGGGGGTGTTCTGAAATGTATCTGTGGCATTGCCATTGATTTTCAATTGATATGCCAGTCCTCCAATGTGGAAAAGGCTAGAAGAAAAAATGGCTCTGTAGCACCCCCTACCGAGGTTTGACAAAGCCCTGAGGCGCAACTTGGACCTGGGGCTACAAAAATTGGGAGGCGTGAAGCTCCTTGAGACCTACAAAAAAATCAAATCAGCAGGAGGCATATCCAAAAATGAACAGGATGTCTGTCGGGGGGGGTTTCAAACTTGGTCTGTCTTGGGAAATGACACAAGGATGAATTCGAGCTTTGCCTTTCCTTTCTCATTGTGTGCAGTGCGGTGGATCTGATCCGCCTGGGAGGGGGTCGCCTCCGCTTCCTGGTGGCCAAGTCGGACCCGGAAGTGTCGGAAAAGATCAGCGCCTCTTCCTGCTGACAAGACGGATGGACCGACCGGGCGAGCTGTCAATCTATCGGCCTCCGGTCGGGAAAGTGAGAGTAAATCGCTTGCAGGATGGGGGGGGGGGCGTGTGTAAATAACGACGGCAAACGTTCTTACTTCCGCTTATCGTTTGGCTGATTCGTCGACGTTCCGCCTCGTTTGCTCGTGACGTGGATGGTGGCCATGATGTCATCACTATGGGACACATGAACTCTTGATATTTTTTGTTCCACTTTTATCGTTAGGGCCAAAGAAGATTCTACAAGTGCATGCATGCCGATGAAAAGTCACTCAAGTCGCCCCCCCCCCCCAAAAAAGTTCCTGATACAAGTTTTGCGAATCAACCCAAAACTTGGTGGACATACATATATATCAAAAAAGGATGCAAATTTTAAAAAAGCCTCAAGGAGCCATGCTTTTTTTTTTTGAACAGGAAGTCAGCCATTTTGGGTGAATTGACTCAAAAAATATCGTAAAAAAAATAAATACATCAGCTCTCAATACCAGTTTCATCACGAAATTGGGTGGACTTGCCTGTCATGAAAAAGGAAGTCTGCCGGGTTTTTTTTTGAGGCTGCATGCAAAAAGCAAGAGCTGAGAACGGCATCCAGGTTTTGGGATCATTTTGAGCATTCGCTGTTGACAAGCGCTCGGCCCACTGCTGTTTGCAGCTTTAATTCTTGTGATGATTAGAGTCAAAAAACACTAACTTCTTTTTCTTTTGTTTTTTTTACATGATAAAATATTTCAAACTGTTCCGAGTGTTTCTTCTTCACTTTTCTGGATCTTTTTCCGCTCTGGACCAAATTTGGACACTGCTTCCTGTCGAGTCAGGGCGGTAAATCTGCCAGGAAAAGGTCGTCATACAAGGGTTTTAAGTCAACGTTTGTTGAAGTGCGATTATTTTGGAGCAATCTGGAAAAAAAGCCGATTTTTTTTTGGAGATGCAAAGTCTTAAAAAAGTTACTGTGTTGTCAAATAAAAAGGTGTCATTTTTTTGTAAAGATAAAAAGTCTGAATCTTGAAGGAAAAATTTGGGCGTTTGTTTCTCCTACAATGAAATGGAGTTGTTGCAATCACGGTCGCATTTTTTTGGGGGGAGGTGGGAGGGTAAAACTGTTCTTGTAAAGAAGCACAAATTATTTCAGTCTAAAAGACAGATTTTTCATTTTTTTTTTTTTTTTAATGGTATGGAAAACTGTTTCTTCTGCATCCTTATCGACTTGCGAGTCACAACTTCCTGCTGGGTGAAGGGGAAAAAAAACACCACAAAACCAAAAACCCCCCCAAAAAAAAACAAAAAAAGTGTTTTAACTCATCGTGGCTTTAATTTTGTGCTACAACATTCGGAATCACAACTGTGGAACATTTACAAAAAATACATAATAATCTCTCTAGAATGTATTAATAACACTTTTTTTGAACACAAAAATTTGCTTACAAAAAATAGCTTCTAGTAGCGACGTCAGCGCGGTGAACGCAGCTAATGTTGCGTTTAACGTTCTAAAAAGCTCTAAAGGTTCAAATAAAAATGACAGTGTAGAAATCTTTTTAAGGCTTTTTTTTGTTTGTTTCTTTTTAAAGGGTTATAAGTGTCTTTTTTTCGTTGACAACCGCTAACTTAAACAGCGACTGTCGCTAATCGGCAACAGAGACGATGTTTGAATTTACAAACGATTGCCGTAATTCAGCCAAGACGACGACACGGCGTCGCACCGTGCCGTTGTCTTGGCAACTCAGTAATCCCATTTCTTCATCCACCCAAAAAGTAGTGTTTGCTTCAGCTTTTTTTTTTTTTGGGTTTTTTTTTTTTTTTTTTTAAAGAGATACTTGAACACAAACAAGGCTCCAGGGAACAAGGCGAGTTGGGGTCAAATAAAAAGGTGTCATTTTTTTGTAAAGATAAAAAGTCTGAATCTTGAAGGAAAAATTTGGGCGTTTGTTTCTCCTACAATGAAATGGAGTTGTTGCAATCACGGTCGCATTTTTTTGGGGGGAGGTGGGAGGGTAAAACTGTTCTTGTAAAGAAGCACAAATTATTTCAGTCTAAAAGACAGATTTTTCATTTTTTTTTTTTTTTAATGGTATGGAAAACTGTTTCTTCTGCATCCTTATCGACTTGCGAGTCACAACTTCCTGCTGGGTGAAGGGGAAAAAAAACACCACAAAACCAAAAACCCCCCCAAAAAAAAACAAAAAAAGTGTTTTAACTCATCGTGGCTTTAATTTTGTGCTACAACATTCGGAATCACAACTGTGGAACATTTACAAAAAATACATAATAATCTCTCTAGAATGTATTAATAACACTTTTTTTGAACACAAAAATTTGCTTACAAAAAATAGCTTCTAGTAGCGACGTCAGCGCGGTGAACGCAGCTAATGTTGCATTTAACGTTCTAAAAAGCTCTAAAGGTTCAAATAAAAATGACAGTGTAGAAATCTTTTTAAGGCTTTTTTTTGTTTGTTTCTTTTTAAAGGGTTATAAGTGTCTTTTTTTCGTTGACAACCGCTAACTTAAACAGCGACTGTCGCTAATCGGCAACAGAGACGATGTTTGAATTTACAAACGATTGCCGTAATTCAGCCAAGACGACGACACGGCGTCGCACCGTGCCGTTGTCTTGGCAACTCAGTAATCCCATTTCTTCATCCACCCAAAAAGTAGTGTTTGCTTCAGCTTTTTTTTTTTTTGGGTTTTTTTTTTTTTTTTTTAAAGAAGACTTTTTGTTTTTTTATGACAACATTCCCTTCAGTTTCTCTTTCACATCCTGGGCTCATGGCTTTGTGGCATGACGGCAACGATCACAGGTTGCTGGGCGGCAGGCGCCGATCCCTCGCCGTCGTCCATCTTGGACCGCTTGGCCTGAGGTTGGTCGCCCGCGCCCGCTTGCTCGGAAGAAAGCGGGCGACTCACCAAAACCGGAGGGGAGCTGGAGGCCTGAGCCGCCAGAATTTGGAGAGGACTGCTTAGACCTGCGGGGCGGAAAGAACGGGAGGCTCAGATGATGCATGTTACAAGGAAAACAAAAGAAAACCCAGAAAGAAGGCGAAAGGTACCCGATGTGAAGGCGGCGAGGCTGTTTGCCGTGGACGCAGCGGCGATGGTGTGCTTTCCGTTCTGCGTGACGGCGTGCACGGCAAGTGGATGCGGGCCCGGCGCCACGTTGCGCGCATCCGCCGCGCTCCGCGGCTCGGCCCCGTGCCCGGCGCTGTCCAGCGCCTGGATCACCAACTCTCGCTTCGGCTGCGCCTCTGAGCACCGTGAAAAATGGCACGCGTGAGAAAGCCGCATTGGACAAAAAGTCCAAATATGACGAAAATGAATTTGCATCATTTGGAGATGAAGAGCTGCCGTTTGCCCCCTCGCGCCGCCATTTTCGGACCCACCTCTAAGCTCGCCGCCGGGCGGCCCGACGTTGAGCAGCGATGGGGCGCAGTAGCCGTTGGGCGGGGCGCCGGTGACCACGCGCAGCATGGTGACGGAGGACGGCGGCGCGTTCTGGACCAGGTGGACCTGGCCGCCGCCTCCCGGGAGGAGGGCCAAGGCCTTGCCCAGGGCGGCGCTCGGGTGCGGCGGCGCCGCCATGATCACCGGTTGAGCGCTGACCGGAGACCCTGCGGGGACATGGACATAAAAAAAAAAAAAAAAAAAAATCACAAGAATGCGTGAATATCCTTTTTTCTTCCTTCCGTAACAGTGTCCAGAAAATCTGCTCTTGTTGTTGGCTTGTGGAAAAATCGCACTTTCAACTGACCGGGAGCGCTCTGCGAGTATCGATATTCGGGCACGGCGGCCAGCTTGTGCGCCAGCTGCTCGTGGTGGTCCGGGGGAACGGGAGACCCCTCCCGGCTCAGACACTCGGGGGTCTGCAGCCCGCTGGACGGCGGCGAAAGCAGGCCCTGGTGGGTGGGCGACGCCGGGGCGCTCCTGCAAAAAAACAAAAGCCGCAAAAGCAAACGTCAGGACGGCGGCGGGGGCGCGCGCGGCAAAGCAAGCGCCACTTACTTTGTCCTGTCCCATCACGCCGCAGCCGGCAGCACAAAGGACAAACAAACAAAATGGTTACCGGCCATGTTTGATACCAATTGGCCCGAAGCATCGGCGGCTGCTCTCGCCAGCATCCACGAGTACCAAAACGATACATTCAGAACCAAGACAGTCAAAAGCACAAAAACAGTCCAACTCAAAATCAAGTCTCAGACTGAGTCCAAAGCCAAAGAATCCAAATGACAACTTTTCAAGATGGCCAGCGAGGGGGCTTGCTGAACGTTCATTCCAAAGAGAGGGAGCAGCAACGGAAAAGGCTCGTTCCCCCTCTGAGCCTCCGCTTAGTTCTCACTACTTCTAATGGTGTCTGGTCTGCGGACCTGAGGCACGGGGCGGGTGTGGAGGAGCTCCAAGAGGTCAGGTGGGGCCAGGCCGTTTCAAGATTTGAAAACAAATAAGAGGATCTCGTGAAAAGAACTCGAAAATGAGCCAATGGAGGGATGGCAGAGTAGGAGTTATGCGCTCCCCCTTCCGAGTACCAATCAAGAGGCGAGCGGCAGCATTCTGGAACGACTGGAGACGCTTGATGGAGGATTGGCGGACTCCAAAGTCAAGTGCATGACAGTAAATTGAGGCCAATATCAGCCCGATACCGATAACTGGTATTGTCACTCACCTATCGCTGATGGTTCCCCAATTTTTCCGTAGAATCTGAAGAGCGACCCTTACTTGTATTTTAAAGTCCAAAAATGAAGCGGGGAAAAGCTGGAACTCCTGCTTGACTTCAGTTGACAACAAGGCATCATTTTTCAAAAATTAAGTCTGATTAATTTTTTCTTTTTTTTTTGGTTCTAATTGAGGAGAAAAAGTGTTGGGTTTTTTTTGTAAATAAAGCTGTATTTTGGGCTGATTCAAAGACAATATAAATCAAAATTTGTGACAATAAAGGCTTTTTTGGGGTAGGGGATCATTTTCCAACTGGCAATCGAAGCTCAAGTGTTGAAAAAGTGCCCGTTGCTCCTCAAATAGTCGCTCGTTTTCTTCTTTCGTTGAATTTTTGTTTTTGCTTGCGAAATTGAAAACGGTCAAGGATGAACGAGAACGCGGATTCCGCGAGGGGCGGCGAGGAGTCGCTTACCGGGACGAGAGGGGTCCGAAGGGGGTCCGGAAGCAGGCCACGCCCCTCTGCCGGCGCTTGCGGAAGGCCTGCTCCACCAGCTTGCCCTCTGAAGCCGAGTCCACGCGCCAGAAGCTGCCCTTGCCCGGCTCGTCCTGCGAGCGCGCCACTTTCAGGAAGTAGCGGTTCAGCGACAGGTTGTGTCGGATGGAGTTCTGAGGACGACAAAAAAGGCCACGCGTTCACTCCATCAAGTCGCCGCCCAAATCCAAAGGTCGCGGTTTGGAAAATCGAGTCACATGGAAAAAAAAAACAAGGCAGAATATTTAAGTCGTATATTTAGAGGGAAAAAGGTCGGAAACTACGAGAATAAGGTCACATTTTGGGGGAATTAAAAAGTACAAATATTACAAGGGGTCAAGTTGGACTTCAAAGTTTTTTTTTTTTTTTAATCCAAATGTGCTTGTAACCTTGCAAGAATAAAGAATTGAAAAACAATTAATAAAAGTGGTCATCACAACAGCCTGAGATTTTTTTTGGGGGGGTGGGGGGCCAGATCATAAATCAGAATAGTAAAAGAGTCAAGAAAAATTATGAGAGGCTAAATTTAAATTTTGGGGGAGGGAAAAACACATGATAAAATTAACATCATATATTTTAGTTCTTTTTTGGGGGGGGGACCTTTTGAGAACCAAGTTTTATTTTTTTAAGAGCAAGCAGTCGTAATTAAAAGAATAAGGTAGCTGTTCTAAGACAAGGATTTTGGGGGGAGAAACAAGATGGAATATTACAAAAATTAGGTCCAAATTAAAAGCTTTATGCTTACATCAACTTTTTTGGGTTTTAATCTTAAGTCATAATATTACACAAATAAAGTGGAGAAAAAAAGTCCCACTCGTGTGAAATGTAAAAAAAAAAAAAAATTCAACCCCCAAAAAAGCAGAATTTTAAAAAAGATTCATTTTGGGGAATAAAAAAAAAAAAAAAATCAGTGATGATATTGAAGTCATATTTTGGGGAAGAAAAATCTTGAGCTTTTAATTATGAGTTTTTATCATTCATTAAAAAAAAAAAAAAAAAAAAAAAAATTTATACCCACCCCCTTTTTTTTTTTTTTTTTTTTTTTTTTTTTTTGGAAATTTCTCCCGCCCCCGCCTGTCATCGGCGCACACCTGCCAGCCCTTATCCGCCGTGCGGTAGTACGGGTAGTGTTTGGTGATGTGAGCGTAGATGCCGCTGAGCGTCAGCTGCTTGTCGGGCGCTGAGGAGATGGCCTGGACGATCAGCTGTGCGTATGAATACGGCGGTTTGGACTCATCCTGGTGGGGGGGGGGGGGGGGGGGGGGGGGGGGGGGGGGGGGGGGGGGGGGGGGGGGGGGGGGGGGGGGGGGGGGGGGGGGGGGGGTGGGGGGGGGGGGGGGGGGGGGGGGGGGGGGGGGTGCACAAAACATTAATTTAGTCCCGTCATTTGCCCACTTCGCGTACACACACGCTTAGTTCAATTTTCAAAGATCTGGGAGTGACCCCGCAAAGAAAAAAAACAAAAACAAAAAAAAAGATCTGTCATTTCTGATTGGTTGACTGGCCGCAGTTCAACTTTGGCGTCAAAATTATTGAATGAATCCATGACTAATTGATGCTCAAATTCATCAACAACTACTTTCACAATCGTTTCCAGCCAGTGTTTAAGCCTCGGCAGCAATCCGTTTTGGATTTCTGTCGTTTTTGTTGTTTAATCAAAACAGGAGATTAGCACACATCGACTTTTAATGCGGGGAAGAAAAGAAAATGAGCGAACCGGTAATTGAATCCGAAAACGATACCAAATGAACACAAATAATTTGGTTACGAAACAGAAACCTGGGGGGGAATGTTTTTGAATCCACTTCAATGTAAAATAAAATCATATCTGAATATTCAAAAGAATAATCGATTCGAAAAAATATTCAGTAGTTACGCCCCCCCGCCCCCAGTCCTTATTTCAATAAACGTTGGAAAGTGCATCGCTGACGACAGCTCTCCATTTTTTTCCTTCCTTCTCTTGAGCCAGCAGTGTACGGCTCCTGACAATAAAAAACACAAAGTGAAGGCGGCGTGACGTCAACGGGTTTCAATACCTTGGGGCTGTCGTCTCCGCCGGCGCCGGCCGACTCCCCTCGGGGCTCCGCGGCCGCGCCGCGGTGCTCGGCCGCGTTGCGCCTCTGCTCCGACACGGCTTTGGCGGCATACTCGGCCACCAGCTGCAGGTCGCTGGTCACGTTGCGGCCATCGCGGTAGCCCGACGACCCGGCGCCGCGGGGGCTTGCCGGGCATGAGTTGGGAACGCTGAGAGAAGAGAGAAAAATCAGATTTTTTTTCTTCTTTTTCTTTAGGTCTACACTAAAAAGATGGCAAATTTTGACAAAAAACAAATCAAAGAAGTAAAAAAAAGTCCTTTTAGGAGAATGAAGTTTTGAGAAAAAGTCAAAGTCCCCCCCAATTTTTTTTCCAGAAACGTTTGAGAATAAAACAGCACTTGGAAATGTTTCTGAGAATCAAGTGGGAATATTTCATCATGACACTACATTTGTATTTTTTTTCCAAACTTAAGTGACAATATTGCAAGATTTTTGTTTTCGAAATAGAAATAAATATGATTCTGCATACATATTCCCCTTCCGCCCAAAAACGACAGACTCCTCATAAAATAAAACTGGATTTTCATACAAAACAACAATCACAATATTTTTTGAACATGTCCCCCTCCCCTTATTATTTGGACAAAAAAAGGCCACTGAGAAATTCAGAAATATCGAAGAAAAAAATCAATCAATCAATCTAACGCAATTAATATTAAGTTGAATTGACTTTTAAAAAGCTGCAGACAAACAGTTGGAATCTGTGAGGAATCAAGGTGATTTCTTGAGGGTTTTTCTGGGGCAGCAGAATGAATGCATTATTTGGAGGACGTCATCATCATATATCAATAAAAGTCGGAATTTCAAGCTCAAAAGTCGCAGCAAAAAAACACATCCATCTTACCAGTGGAGACGCTCACCTCGCGTGTCTTTTTCTGCGGGGCGCACACGCACGCGCACGCACTCCGGCACAACAATAATCAATGGCGTATGTTAATCATTGGCCAGCGTCCAGGCCGGACAAGCAACAACAGCTGCTGCTGCCGTTTGCCAAGTCAACAAGGCAGCTGTGATTTGGCATGAGTGACGCGCGCATGCACGCACACTTTCTGGTTCGACAAGCTAAGGAGCTGGAGCCTGCGCGCCGCTTTTGTCGGCTCCGATCCGTGTGGCTTGATGCTCGCTTGTGAAAAATTCTACTTCTTTAGCCAAAGACAGGCTCGAAAACAATCGGCATCGTATGACCAGAGCACTCATTCCCCACCCCCCCAAAAAAAATCAGGAAATGTATTTGACATTCCAGGAGGAGGGGGAGGGGGCACCCCTTAACAGTCTCATCCTCTGTGGGCACACTTGGGTGAAGGGGCGAGCAGAGGAAACCAGGAGTGGATGTTTCCCCCCCCCCAAAAAAATGCTGAGTCCATGCCAAACCAATCCTCTCCTCCACCAATCAGGCAGCTCGTCGCTGCAGGGCTGCCATATAAGGCACACGCAAGAGGAGGAAGCACAGCAGTGACACGGCAGCACCACAAGTGGGCGCTCTCGCCACCCACAAAGAGTTCAACCGAGAACGCAAAGCTACGCGAGAGATATGAATGAGCTCACGTCAACATCACACACACACACACACACACACACACACACACACACACACACACACACACACGTATAGATATAAATACACACGTGCACCACATGAGTTGAGTCCTGCCAACGCTCAGTCACATGTCAGGCTGCACTTTGAAAAGCTGGCGTGTCCCAAAGCGCACAGATCTGTGTATGGAGGTGCGTGCACGTTCACCTATGGACGGACACGCAACGCTTGTGTCCTAGCGTGCAGTCTCAACATGTCGCATCTTTTCACTTTTTTCAGTTTTGGGGCATTTTGTGACATGAAACAAGTTGTGTTTTTTTTTTTTTTTTTTTTTTTTTACATGTCTTCGTGAGGAAACTGCTGTTACTTATGCGGCTCTTATTCAAATGGTGGCCAATTGTTGCCGTCATTTTAGAATCTAATTTTCAACTCTAATATTTCGGTGTTATGTTGCTCAATTTTATTTTGAGGGGAGGGGGGAGAATTGTGGTTTTAGTCTAATTGTTTGAATTGTCACACAAGAATAGCCGGTCCAATTTTTTTCTATTGTATTTGATCCATTTTCATTTTTAGATTTTTTTTTTTTACTTCAGGCATTTAAGATTAAATGGCGAGCATTTTTTTTTAAAATAAAATGTTTTAAACGAAATATGTTTTGTTTTCTTTTTATTGCAATACATTTTCTTTTTTTTCTTAGTTTGGTAACTTTTTCCAGGGCCCTGACCTACTTCTATGATGTTTATATATGACCAGGATTTTGTACCATGTGCAAACTTTTTTTTTTTTTTAACTGACGTTTACGTGGGTGCGCGTACCTGAGGGTGCCCGTGGGCGACGGCAGCGGTGGGCCGAAGGCCCTGATGTGCTCTTCGTGCTGCTGCGCGGTGGGAATGCTGATCTTGAGCGGGGAGATGTGAGGCAAAAGCGGGCGGATGGGCGGCGAGGGCGCCTCCTTCTCCCACTGCCCCTCGGGGGGGATGAGCGACGCAAATTGGATCTTGATGACCGTGCTGGGAAAGCGGAACACGCACCTATGGGAGGGAAAGGTTAGAGTGGTTTGTCATCATTTCACAATGCGATTTGCGTTTTTTAAAAAAGCAAAAAAAATAATAATAATGAGAGTTGTACAGCGGCACACCACAGTTGAGTTTCCCCGTTTGATCCTCACAAGGGTCGCGGGCGTGTTGGAGCTTCATGTTGTTTTTTTTTTTTTTTTTTTTTACTTGAGTGCTGTTATAAAAGAATAATCTAATTTCGGATATGTGACGCTTTTGAATGGTATTTTTCTTTCTATTTTGAGGTAGTATAACATTCAATTGTTCCTACCAATCCTGCAACCCCCCCCCAAAAAAAAAAACCCAAAATAAACACAAAACCCCAAACTCTAAGGTCTGTCTCAAGACGACAACTGGCCCAAACAGTGAGCAGAACGTCATTACACTCTGAATGCCACTGCTAAGAGCTGCACAACTCATGACATCTCAGCTGATGCAATAAATAGAAAACTGTTCGTAAGGCCGCAATGAGCCAAAAGCTTCAAAATTAAAAAAACACGCCAAGTTTATTTTTAACGATTCCTTTTCACCGGCAAGTGCCATGTGCTTCAAGCATTGCAGCCAAAAATAGCCTCTGTCCAACTGCAACAATTCATTGACTAGGATTAATACTATTAATAATGCTCATCATGATTATTGCTTACATTATTTTCTTGCGTGAATTTGTCCACTCTTTCCATGAAATTGATTAAAATGTGTTTTACTAATTTCTCATTAAAGTATTTCATATTTCATGTATTTAATGTAAGCAACAAACATACACATATTGGTCAAATGCTCAAAGTAGACACCCTGCGTGGACGAGTTGGTCTTGCGTTGATTCCATGTGCTTCTTGTCATTCCACACTCGACTTCCGGGATCAGCTGCCCAAACCCTCGCAAACGGCCAATCAGAGACGAGCAACCCCACGCCCCACCCCCTCCGATTCCCACCCAGACTGCAACACCTTCCCGCCCCCCTCGCTGCCCAGCGGGCTGATTGACAATCACAACACAGCAAACGCCCAGACCGTATTTGTGGCCGCTAAACAAAGTAACCAGCATCTTTTTGGGTACAACCTCAAACAAACGCGTGCTCAGCGTTGAGCGACAAAATTCACACCAAACGAGTCTTTTAACTGCAGAACAAACGCACCTCCCATCAAGGGGGCCTCGTGTGGACTTCGCAGTGGTGCGTTTGTTTACATTGACAGCATCACGTCGGCTAACAACACCTAAGACAGCTATTGACAAATATTACACGGCAACGAATGACCGCTGTACACTGTAAACGGTCTAAGACGCAAGCGCGGGTGGCTGAGGTTGACAAATACATTTTATTGTCAATAAAACAACGGGGCTAAATTAACACGTAGTCACTTGTGGGCTAAGCTAACGAGCTAGCTTAGCTGAAGTTCATTCACTTGCTTCCCAATGGTGTGGAGAAAACTGTTTGGATCGCTTGTTTTAGACCCACAAATAACAAATAAGCTACTCAAAATTAACATATTAAGTGACATTTCATTTCATTTTCTTCAAAGTCTAAAGTCTATTGGTTTACACTGGCTATCCGTGGTTTGTTTTGAATTACATTAACTATAACAACTTAACCCTAACTCCCTAGCAAAAGCATTAAAAGTGCTCAAAATAACCTCTAACTATAAAACGTACATAACTTTGAATGTACACGTTGTTGAGAATGTACGGGAAATGTCATTTGAAAAGGGCAACTATCACGTTTATTAGCCTCAAATGCTAAGCTAAGAGGCTACAGGCGGAGCTCACTGTCGGGGAAGCAGCAGCGGCGGCGCCCCTTTCCGCTGGAACACTCCGTCCACGAACACGCCATTCTTGCCCAGGCAACGTAGCGAGAAGCCGCTCGCCTCGTCGTAGACGAGCTGCAAGTGCCGCCGCGAGATGAAGCTCGAGTGGCCCATGTTGATGTCCACGGAGCCGTGGGACGAGTTCCGGCCGATGGTGACGGTCCTTTGGCGCATGACAAACTCAAAGTCCCGACCCTCGAGTCTGGCCAGGGCTTGGGGGAGAGGAGACACCAGACGAGCCGGGCGCATCCCGGCGCCGGCGGCGGCTTCCGTCAGCGGCGGACAGAGGAAGGCGAGCGACGGCTGATGGTGGAAGGCGTGCGAGGTGACCGCCACTCGCACGGGGCTGCACGGCGCCGACTGCAAGGCGAGCAGGGCCCGAGCTCCGGTGTCTTCCCGGTAGTCTGCCATGTTGTTTCGCGGGGGGGTCAAACACACTTCCACAGGCACTTCGCACACAGAGTTGCAACGTGAGAGTTTGGGGCCGGGGCACTTGTTCGCTGGAGCTGACAGAACAACATGGAGTTCGGGCAGCGGGGAAGAATCGGGATGGAGCCTCGGCAGGAACCGGACTGATGCTTCCTTCAAGTACGCCTCGTAAACTCCTAAACTACTATGTAACGTCCATTCTTTATCTGAAGCGCTTGATCGAGGGTCACGGGCATGCTGGAGCCTATCCCATGCCTTCGTACACCCTGAACGGGTTGCCATCCAATCGCTGAGCACACGTAGACAAAGAAGTATTCACACTTCAGGATAATTAGACTAGTTAACCTCCCATGCATGTGTTTGGAATGTGGGAGGAAACCGGAGTACAGAAAGAAAAACCACGCAGGCACGGGGAGAGCGGGCAAACGACACACAGGAAGACCTGGACTCGAACCCATGACCTCTGCACTGTGAGGTGGATGTGCTAACCAGTCGACCGCCGTCCCGCCCACTACTGTTAAAAACAAATAATCAGTTAGACGCAAGCGCAACACTGCTCTTAACTGGAATCATGATTTACATTATGTGTTGTTGTATTCTATTGCAGTACGTTAAATTACGTTAAGTCACATTGCGTTCCAGTCAGCTGTAATATTTTCCTGTCTCTACTTTGGTCTACTGTTTCTGCACATTTCATGTAATTCTTTTCGTAATTTTCATTCGATTTTTTTTGTTCCTATTTTGGTCATATATTTGTCTATTTTTCCATCTTCTATTTTAGTAAGTGTCATTTGCAATTTTTGCTCTCAATCGAGCCCCACTAGAACCGGGCTGGTGCTGCGTTCAAATAACAGCAATACGTTATTCTTAGAGGTAGTGACATTTTCTGTGAGACACAATCTGTAAAGCAGACAGAAGTACATTTTGGCACCAACACTTGTTGGAAGACGTGCAAGTGAAAAAGTTCAAAAGAAAACAAAAGCACCGACCAGCATAAAATTGTTTCTCGCTGACGACACGGCACGAATTAAGTGCTGCATAAAAGTAATACAGTAAGTGAGTCACCATTGTGGTGCTTTTGTCACATCCATGTGTTCTACTGTACAAGCTTGGAAGATAGCGTACGCTTGGCCGTCGTCCAATCGCAGCGCTCAAAACATGTGTCGTGTGCAAAAGAAGCTGCTTGGCTCCGCCCTCTTCTCGCTTTTTTTCCCCCCCTCTTTCTTTTTGTTATCGCTCGTCTGTTTATAAACATGGAAAGAACAAGATGGTCACAAAACGCGGAGAAATGGATTCGGAGAAATGGATTACGCATGCCGAGTTCACGATCAGGATCGGGAGTGAGACCCAAAACGTCCACGCGAGGGTGCTGTTCGCACGGGCTCTTGATTAGGTACACGTACATTCTTTCCTCTCGTTTTAGTTTTTTACAAGCTTTGTATTTGGACTGATATAGTTTGTCTATAATTTGTGTATTTTTTCCAAAATTTACCCCTAATATTTCCCAATGTATATATCAAAAGTCTCAAAAAGCCATGATTGGGAAAACAGGAAGTCCTCCGCATTTGGTTTGAAGCGGCCATTTTAGGATCACTCCTTTGTCCTTTTTATTTTTCTTTACTTAGGAGGAAGCAGAAAACGTTGCAAAGTCACTGACGTTTTTGTGGAAATTCTTCTTCTTATTATTCTTATTATTATTATTACTATTATTATTGCACTTTTCTTAAATGGTTAACCCGATTGACTCCAAACTAGGGCTGTACCATTTCAACACGCGGGACAACATTATGGAAAAATATTTTAAGATTTCGACATACTATACAACGGGGACGTGGCATCGAATTTTACTTTTAAAAATTCCTATTTGATGAAGTATTCACAGTCGTACGTTTTCTCTCGAACTCTCCACTGGGAGGCATATGGAACAGCCCACAAAGTACAATAAAGTCTTTTGGAGCCATATGCTGATCCGAAAAAGAATTTGTCACTTGTGGGGTGGTGGGGAGGGGGGGTGGGGGGGGGGGGGTTCATGGGGGTAATATTTTTAAAGATGCTGTTTTTGAGGCTCTTCACCCCGGCGAAATGCATAAAATAGAGCTGAAAAGAAAATCTATATTTCAGAGATTGATGCATTTATTTTCCAAGGCAGCCTCACCATTAAACAGATTACGCTGTGTTGCAAGGCAACATGTTTCCACATTGAGGAGCCTCCACTGTACGTCTCTGAGCGAGCATTTTCCATTTCCTGCCTCTCGAGCTTCACGAGCGCGGCTCCAGCTTCAGTTTGATGGGTCGCTTGGGCATCAGCAGGCCCTGCACATCCATTTCGATGGGTACCTGGTGGGAAAACGGAAAGGTCTGATGAGCCTTCAACAAAGTGGCCGTCAGCGGTTGCGGGTAGTCTGGTTTTGACTCAGACGCGTCGAACGCATCCGCAGACCAATATCACGACGTCCCGCATTCTCACCTCGGTCTCGTCGCACATGCAGAAGTTGTAGCGCTGCAGGATCTCCACGATGGCCAGCTTCATGCTGACCATTGCAAAGCGCATCCCGATGCAGTTGCGAGGACCAGCGCCAAATGGCAAGTACACGTATGGGTCAAGCGAGTCTTTGTTTTCCTTACTGAACCTAAAAAAAAAAAAAAAAATTAAAATCACACAAAAATAGTGACAACATAATTCTTGTAAATATTTTGACTTAATTTTGCAGACAATAAATTCACTATTCCAAATCCATGACAAAAAATAAAAATGTGTTCTCGTCAGACCCCAACAACAACAAAAAAGTTCCTATTCTTGTATGATGCAATTTCGTACTCCCAAATCGTGCCGTTAACAACAGAAGTCTTTATTCACGCACAAACTTTTTTTCTGAGAAAAATTCTTCCCATAAGAGTCACTTTTTTTTCTTCAACAAAGACAACTTTCTCCTCGTTAAATTATGACCCTAAAAAAATCATCCATCATTTTTTCTTGTACTGAACGACGACTCGGTTTTACCTCTCCGGTTGGAACTTTTCGGGTTGGGGCCAAAGGTCGGGGTCACGGTGCAGAGGCCAAGTGGGCACCACGACGGCCATATCCTTGGGGATGACCACGCCGTTGATCTCAATGCTGGCCTTGGCCACACGCTCCAAACGCTGGACGATGGGGTACACTCGTAGCGACTCGTTGATCACCATGTCCAAGTACTCCATCTCCATCAGCTCCGAGTACTGCACGGCAGCCTGCCAAAAAAACAAAACAACCCCCCCCCCCCAAACATCCAGATTTTTTTTAATCCCAAATTTCGCCTTTACTGTATTTTTTTGAGGAATCACACTTAAAAAAAAAATTATATGATGGCTTGAACTCAGTTTTGTTGGAACCATCGCAGGTACGCTAGCATAGGTGGGGAGTCAGCTCACCCGTTTTCTAGTTTCTAGGTGTGCTCACGTGATCTTAGTTCAAATGCAGTTAAGACATTTATTTCAGTGGACAGCAGAGGGCGATATTGCGGCACCCAGAGAATTTATATGTACAGTATATATATACATATATACATACTGCATATATAAATTGAGGAATACTGCATATATAAATTCAGAATTTCTCTCTCTCTCTCTCTCTTTTTTTTTCTCGTACAATTCCAACTGCATAAGAGCGAGGTATTGTTTCATTATTAAATTAAATGGAGTAAATTTCAAATGTTTTAAAGCATTGTACAGCACTCTGAGTTGCACCTTTATGTATGAAAAGTGCTGTATAAATAAAGTTTGATTGATTAATGGTGCATTCATTGAGATCAGGCGAGCGCGGTCAACATATCAACATTTATCACCTCATAAAATAGATGAGGGACATCAATGTTAGACAAATGAATACAATTAGTTTTAAAAGACAAGAAAATAAGACAATTAAAAGATTCTTTTGAAAAAGCACAAGTCATTGTTTTTCCACAAATTGATTTTCAACCAGTGTCAAATAACAGCGTATTGTATGTTACTACTACTAGTTCTTGTTGTACCTTGTTGGGGAAGGTGGCGTCCACCTCGTCCTGCAGCTTTTTCATGACGTGAGGGTTGGTGGCTAAGTTGTGCGCCAGGAAACTGAGAGAGCTGCTGCTGGTCTCGTAGCCGGCGAAGATGAAAATCATGGCCTGAGAGAGGATCTCATGGTCGCTCAGACCTGCCGAAAGAGCATCCAGAAATAATCCAAACGGTCAAAATATAATTTCAAGGTTGCATGTGCGCGACTGGCAGGAAGACCTTCTCCTTCATTGTCATGCATCCCTCACGATGGATATCATGTGGTGTCCCTCAGGGGTCAATTCTTTGCCCACTGTTATCCAAGCCTTACATGTTTCCACTTTCTTCAGTCCGACACAAATGTAACATAAATTAGCCTCTGCAGATGACTTGCCTCTCCACAGCGTAAAAAAAAAGTGACGTTCACATTTGTGCATACGATTACTCCTGGCGAATTAGTTGTGTGAGACCACCTTTCACATTAGATATCAACAGACCCACAGAAATAATTCACATGCACCTTTTTTCATGTCTTCTTCGAGAGAGTTGTGGTTCTTCTGCGAGTCAATCATTAGCTGCAGGAAGTCCACGCGAGTCTGAGGGCAAATGAGAAGCGGGTCATTCGCTCGCAACCATACCCCTGGCTCAACACCGTAACCCCGCGCTGAAGACCATACCCCTCGCCCACTGCTCTCACGGCTGGATTTGATCTTCTGCAATGCTGCAAAGAAGAAGTCGAAGGCCGCGGCCGGGAAGAAGGAGAATTCCATCTTCTCGAAGAACGGACCCAGGAAGGGGAAGAAGGCTGCGGACCCACCAAAAATGAAAGAAAAAAAATCCTAGCGGTACATTTAGACATGGATTTAAAAAACAAAAAAAGAAGGAACAAACGTGGATCAGTGAAGACCTGGCAATACGTTTGAGGATTTTTTTTGGTTCCAAAATTGATGACACGCATAAGAAAATGACCCTTTTACTTTTTAAGATTTTGTTTTGGTCCGAAATGGACTCAGTTCATTCCCCCACACCCCCCAAAGAATTCTGCACCGGTTTTGTTATTTTGTTTAGAGTTTGGCAAATGGAATTACAACTAACAATCTCTAACAATTCACGTCAGAAACATTTTGTCCCTTTTGGAAATGGATTGAATTTCACCCCCACCTCCAAATTCACTTTTTATTTTTTAATTTTGGGATATTTAAAAAACATAATATTCTCAAAGAAAACCTGTAAACAAGTAATCGACCCATTTCATGTTTCAACATTTTGTAATGTTCT